TTTGCACAATATTTACCCCTGTAATGCACTCTTGTTCAAACATTGTGATGTTACTGATATTTGCACCTTTTGTAAAAATGAGTGTGATTTGTCACTTTTTTTTTCATGCAATGTATCATCATTGTTTGGAATGATTTCAGTTCATATTGATTTGATATAAATGGTAATTTGCACTTTAAGGATGTTATTTGGGGTGACGCAGTGGCCCAGTAGGTAGTGTAGTGCTGTCGTCTCACAGCAAGAAGGTCGCTGGTTAGAGCCTTGGCTGGGTCAGTTGGCATTTCTGTGTGGAGTTTGCATGTTCTCCCCGCGTTTGCGTGGGTTTCCTCCGGGTGCTCCGCTTTCCCCCACACTCCAAAGACATGCGGTATGAGGTGAATTGTAAAAGCTAAATTGTCCATAGTGTATGAGTGTGTATGGATGTTTCCCAGAGATGGGTTGCAGCTGGAAGGGGATCTGCTGCATAAAACATGCTCTATAAGTTGGCGGTTCATTCCGCTGTGGCAACCCCTGATTAATAAAGGGACATATTAAAGGGATGTTATTTGTTATTTTAAGAAACAAAAACAAGTCAGAAACAGATTAACAGTGCACAGCAAAATATGGGGACCCAAAACAACTCTATGGGTGTTAATTTCAACACTTTGAAAGTGTCTCATGGGGTCCACTCAAAACAGAGTTAAATCAACACTTTCAAAAGGGTTGGCACATTGACACCGAAGTAAGGGTTAATTTTAACTCTGGGCAGAGTTAAAAAATGTAACTATATTTAACACCGCCTGGTGTAATATATTGTTATTTTATTCAACTCTCTTGAGTGTAAATATGGTAAAAAGGCAAAATAGACTGTAAATTACAAAATAAAAAACATTTTATTTGAAAACATTCACCACTTCAACAATTCATTCAGTTTTTAAAATGCAACAATGTCAAATATGCTTTAAATGTTTTATTAGTACAGACAGTATCAACAAAATATGTATGACCAGTGCTCAAAAAGGCTGTTTCAGTCCTTTGGTCCAAACTTGATGTGTTATCAGAGCAATTTGAAAGTTCAATATATCATCACTCATAGTTTTCTTCTGAACGCATAGTTTTCTTGTGAAATTAAATTTTAAACAACTTGGCGTGCAAATCTTTCACTTCGGGTGTTTCCTTGGTCCTCCATATCAAACACAGCAGTTTAAATGAAGGTATAAATGCTGTAAACTTGTGTGAAAACAAACTGGAGCTAGGAAATCTCATCAAGCATGTCCTGTGAAAGATGTGCTTCCCAGCCACAGGATGACCTTTTTATCCATGATGATGTAGCAGCTGCTGATCGCTTGTCTGGTGGTTCCTGATGCACGGATATAGGGTGATGCTCATCTAAGAACTCTTCAAGACTCCAGCATGACTAAGAAAAATGTTTGAAAACAAATTGCAATCAAATTCTATGATATATTTGAAAGAACATTTAAAGTAAATAAAACATTCAAGAAATCTAAACTCACCTTTTGAAAATCTTCATGATGATCCACAACTTGACCCTCCCAGCTGGTTGAGGTGACAGGATATGGAAAAGTAGAAAAAACACATATATCACTGTTGGAATCTCCAAAAACAATTAGGTTAACCACTATGACTAGAACTGGACAAACAGGCAGCTGTCTGTCCAGAATCCTGAATTTAACACAACACTTGGAGCAAAATTTAGAGGATCTTAAAATCTTTTATATCATTTAGTGATGCTGACTTCCCCAAAATATTGGCCACAGTGTAAAAAATATTCATAAACTTCATAAACAACAGTTTTCTGTAAGCGTGTGCGTGCTTGTGTGCGCGCGTGCATGTTTCTTTACCAGATTCAACTTGTTAGGCCCTTTCAGGTCCAGTATTGACGCCACCTTTACTGGAGTCAAGCAGATGTTTCAGGTCCAAATATAATCTAAAATATTAGGATAAGCAGAAGAAGAAAATGTGCAAAGCAAAGAGCAAAACATTATTTAAGTAACAGTTCACCCACAATACAAAACTTATCACCTTCATGTCATTCGTTATTCTTTAATGCTCTAATACCCTCTTAGCTTATTGTGAAACAAATACAGAACTTTATCAAACAGACCTTCATTATTATCACCACATATGACCAAGAAGGTGTGCTTGGTCATTTCACCAACTCTGGAAATACACCATCCGTCTCTAATCAGCCACCGTCACAGGGTCTTGTGTTATTGTATAGAGAACTGTGGCTGTTAAAAAACAACAAAAAACTAGTATCTAACACATGCATAACCTTCAGATAAAAAGGAGAGATGAACATCACAAAGTATGCCTCACATTTTTTTCAGATATCTTTTGACTCAGATGTTGATTATTGATAATAAATCTACAAATCAAACCTGTACCATCATTAGGCTGCTCAAATATGAATCAGTTGATTAATTTTACAGACAGGTGGCTGTTTACAACGCACTAAATTGTCTTTAATAAAAAGGAAATGTTGTGTACAGTACATGCTAAGTTTAGCCTATAGTTTTAAGCACAATATCATGCGGGAGAAAAAGCTTGACTAAGATGTTCCTGACAACAGAAATAGCCTAACTTACTAACGTCACACATCCCGAGTTGGGAAAAGTAATTTTCGGGGGATACAGAGTTGATTTGCGGGAGGTAGCGGGAGAGATGAGTACCTAAAGAGCAATGGGATGAGTTGCGCGCGACGTACCTGAAGAGCGGTGGGGGTGACTTGCGCGCGACGTACCTGAAGAGCTGGGAGGGATGCGGTGGAGAGGGGCGTGCAAAGTGTTTAATGACCGGGCCGGAGACGCGCGATTTCCGGGAGATTATCATTAATTTGCGGGCATCTACTTGGGCATCTGGGAGTCTCTGTGCATTTGCGGGATAACGTTAACGTTAGTCCCGCAACTTCCGGGAGACTTCTGTAACCTTAAATGCCTGAGAAAGTGCAAACGCGGTCATTTAAAGACATTAAATATTCAAGCGTACGTTATCACGCGAGTCTATGAACTAACGGTATATGGACGGCCACGAATGAACCAGTTTAAAAGGGCCGCGGTGTTTAAAATAACCAAATTAACGTACACTAATAACAAACAATCATATGTTTTAGTCAGGAAGCCTTTTACAAGTAAGCATATGTTAATTTACTCACCAGATATGTTTTAGAAACTCTCCAGAGCTTATGGAAACCGTCCTCTGTTGCCGTTAGCATCCGGGCAGAGTAGGCTAGGCTGCTCCGGGGATTCCCTCGCTAGTTTGCTTCAAATTAAAGGAGAAGTGTCGATATTATTTTACAGATGGGTAACAACGCACAAAATGGCATTAAGCGTGACAGAAATGTGTTGAACATGTACATTTGATGTTTTTATGCACTATGTATGCCTGAGCATATATAAAAACATTCTTGAAAAGAAGTGAATAGTAATGCAGTTAAGCTAGATATACAAACGACCATGAATGAACCGCAGAAGATTAAAATTGTCACTCCATTTTAAAGTTATTAACTTAACAATATGTTTACAACTGTATTTCCTCAAAGAAAGTCAGTAAAATACCAACATTTAGGTAGTTTGACTCACCAGTTGCTGTTCTAAACCTCAGATGGAAAATGGCGTCTGGAAACTTCTTCAGTGACTGGGGCTGCATGAATTCCCGGATGTTGGAAATGACACCACCAAGTGTAGAAAAGATAACTCCTTGATTTCGCACTGAATAAAATCAATTCTAACTCTTATTATATTCATTTATCAAAATCTAACTCTTTAACGTCAACACTTTACTCTGAAATGCTTCAACACCGAGAATTTAACTCAGATGAATTTGCTGTGTGGTTTCTTAAAAAAAGCAGTTTTTATAGACTTCTTATGTGAAATAGAAACATGTAATTAACTCACTTAAATTAATTGATAATAAGAAATGTGCTTCTTTCTTGAGTAAATATGCAACTATTGAAACTAACAAGTGATATTGATGATATTTTTAAGTATGGAGATTTGCCAAATAAAAGACTTTATTTGATGTACCTTTTTTTAATTAAATAAAGTGATTTTGGGGGGAAGGGTGTGGAGGGAAGGGGTATAAATTCTTATTTCACCCTTTTAGAAAAGTTGTAAATCAAAGCAGAACATCTTATATTGCAATAAATGGCACATGTATTGCAAAAATAATATATGACTACTTTTGTTTTCCAATACAAATGTCTAAACATATTTAAATCAAGATACATTTGCTCAAACTTCAATAAGATGAAATTTAAGCTAAGTCAGATAAGGCGTAAAAGAAGAACAAAATACTTTTCTGTTTGAATTAAGATTTTTCAGAGGAACATGTAGATATTTTTTGATGTAACCATAAAGTTGCAACATTTTGATCAATTTTACAAAGAAGACTTACATGTAAATGCATCTTTGATTAAAGAATCGTATAACAGTTGAACTAGAAATGACACAAAAACACTGAAGTAAACACTTATATGTCATATTTATATATTGATTAACATAAGTGCCGCATTCATAAATGTGCACAAACACACAGACACACACCACAAAACAAACACACACAGAGCTGATCTGAGGGTAAGCTGTATTGTAATAATGAAATTCAGTAAGCTTTATTGATGTTAATGTTGCATTATTGTTAATTTTTTTTTCTAAAATCGTCACAATATAATATTGTATTCTATTATGATTTATTGTACTACCCTTGTGATAATTTGACATCCAAATATGCTAATATATGTTGATAGTGCTCATTGTACCTTAAATTACTATCCAATGAGAGTTTTAAAGGTTAAGGTTCCTTACCTCTGTGTAGCAAACCCAAGGGAAGGATAAGCGGCTCTCAGTGGGAGCTTTTTACTGTAATTAGAGTATGATTCCACTGTTGTTTTGTTTCTATGAAATTTCTGCTTAGTCATAATTTAAAAAAAATCTTTAGGTGCAACTGATTACATCTGTAACTTTCCACAGTACAGGCATGATAAAGCAAAATGAGGCTGATTTGCAGTTTCATATTTATTTTTCAAAATACAGATTTGTTTAATAACTTACTTAACACATTCACTCATCTATTAATCAATTCACTCACTCATCCGATCATTCGGATATTCAAACAGACATCTGAATGCAAAATATTGATTTGCCTTCATAACATTTGACACTTTCTGCTGCCAAAATACATCATTAATAAGTCTATAACAAACATTAAAAGCAGACTTGCATATACATTTGGTACACAATGTTAAGGTTTGTCAATTTTATTACATTTAAATCCATTGCACTTTCGCTATAAATGTACTTTTTCAATTAAGTTTTTCATAAGCTTTACCATGAAGTCTTTATCCTGAAAAAAAAAGAATAAATAAAATGCATCACAATTTACATTCAATTAACTATTCACATCCTGTTGGCCAATTCTTTAAATATCTCTCTAATCACCTGATTATAAACATCTCGTGTCCTTTTTGGATCTTCAAGCTGAGCCTGAAGAGCAATTTTCAGCATCTCCTGAGTGATGAGCTCCTTCAAATCCTCTGAACTCCCTGATTCTCCCATAATATTCCTATCTGGTTTTACGGGGAACGGGGAATCCTGGAGCTGGCTGTTTGAAATGCTCTTTTTGCCCATAAAATGACCTGAACAAAAGAACTCAATCGTTTAAGTAATGGTTTTCATTTTAATATAAAAATACACAATGAAACAACAACGTACCTGTTGCCCAAAGATTTCCACGTGGATGCACTTTTATTTTCGAAACTTTATTTCGCAGCTCCGTTAAATCGAGACTGACTGAAGTGCTCAGTGATACGTTGAAAAGCATTATGAGCGCGAATAACAATGTATATTTGCAATGTCCATCATCAGCCATCTTCTCAGGTAACTCTCGGCGGATTCCTCCGGTCAGATTGAGCTGGTTCTTCTGCAGGCTGTTTTTATACCCCCTCAATGGGGTGTGATGCCGGCGGGTTCTGAGGTCACAGTTTAGTCATTGAATGCACACAGAACGACAGCAAGTGTTTGGTCTGTTTGGATGAGGATGGGAAACGCTTTGTGACGTGCGTTGGCTGTGCGCGCATGCAGTTTAATGGAATTAATAGAATGGAAAATCGTTTTGAGGCGTCGAAATCAATCTTACATTTCAATAGTTATGAGTCGCATGTGTGAGTATGTACCATGGTTCTGAGGAACTATATGACTCATTGTTAATAAGATTTTACAGTAAAGTTTAATTTGGCTACATTAGTTCACCCAAAACTGAACATTTGTCATCCTTTACTAACTCTTTACTTGTTCCACCTGTCTGAGTTATTTCAAGAAGATATTTTTAATAAAAGGTGAAAACTGGCCTAACAATTTACTTGGATAGTGGGCTATTTGTTTTTTCTACTGTGGAAGTCAGTGGTTTACATGTATTTTTAACCCTTTAACTGCATGCTCTACCAAATGCTTAACCATATTTTGACTGTTTTACAAAACGGTCAAAATAAAAAAAAAAAAAACATAATCCCGTTGCACTACTACACTTGACTTTGTTTATTGTAAAAAAAATTTTTTATAACAATTACATAAAAAACAATATAAACAATAAAAAAAAACATCTTTTTAGTCCCTTTATTCATCAGGGGTCGCCACAGCGGAATGAACTGCCAGCTTATCCAGCATATGTTTTGCACAGCGGATGACCTTCCAGCCGCAACTCAGCTCTGGGAAGCATCCATTCAGCATGTTAAATGAGAATCTGAAATATTTGATGGCATACTTTAAAAAAATAAAGATGATTTATTATTCAAAAACATATAATTTTCATTGTTTTTAAATAAATTGATCGTACACTCTTACGTCAATTTTTCTGATTTTTCCTAGCATATGTATTCATTTTGGTACTTTACTATAAACCAACATATCTACCATTTGGTAGAGGTTGATATTTAAAAAAATATGGGTTAAGCGTGCAAAAAAAAAAACAACTCTTTGCGGGGCAGGTAAAGAGTTAAAATATCTTTGTGTTGAACAGAAGAAACTGATAAAGGTTATAGTGAGTAAAAGTTATTGTGAGTAAATTGTAATTTTTGGGTGAAATATGTGAATAATGTGTAACAAGGAAAAATAGGTTACAGGTCTGTTAGTGATTCTTTAAAAAGAACATTTACTCTCAATTTACTCAAATAGTTTCATACACTCATGGTTTTATTTTGTTATTTTGAAAAAAAAAACACACACACACAAGAGGATATTTTAAGGGGATAACTTTCAAAGCAGGAAAAATATAGAAGTCAATGGCCACCATTTTTCAACATTATTCAAAATCTAATCTTTCATGTTTTTAAAAACAGGTTCGAAAGAAGTGGGAGTAAATTCTGTCAGAGTTTTCATTTTTTTGGGTGATTTATTCCTTTAATTTTTTCAATTTACAATCAATACTACAACTTTTAAACTAACGCTGTATATTATGTAATGGACATGAGCTTATTATCTTGTAATGTTTGTGAAAGGTAGTTCTCCCCAAAATGAACTGTTATTCACCATTTAAGAATCACAAGAGATTTCAACCTTTTTAGAGGGTTTTTTCTTCTTCTGTTGAACATATTATTATTTATAAAAAATATTTTGAAGAACTCTGAGAGCAGACAGCTATTGACCTCAGTTGGAGAAGAAAAAAAAATGTTATGGAAGTCAATGGCTACCATTTTCCCCCCACATTCTTCAATTTCTCTCTCATGCTGTAAACAACAATAACTAATGAAACCATATTAGAAAGTGTTAACATTACTGAATACAATAATTAAGTTTTTGTGAACAATACCTAGCTGAATGATCAGATACTAATCTGAACCAGCTAAAATTACCATTTATTTAAAGAATATACCATTTTCTTTTTCTATAAAAAAATATTTTTAATTCAATGTGCAAAACTCTCTCTTTATGACAATATAGCATTTTCATTGTACTAGCATACAGTTTTGGAATAAAATATAATTGTTTTTATTTTAAATTTGATATTCTCTGTCTGTTGTTTAAAAGATATGGCAGCGACTCCAAACATAGTACATTAATAATGATACAAAATGACTTAAAAAGAAAGAAACTAACACACTTTCAAAATTGGCTGAACAGTTTTATTCATTACAAAATTTGTAGCCTTTAAGAAAGAGTTAGACAGATGTATGGAGCACGTACAGCTGTAAAGTCAAATCAAACAAAAAACGAATTTGGTATGACATGGAAAAAAGGAACAAATACAAACTCATCCGGTACTTCTTGTGTTTGCACTGTCACTGAACAGAGAAAATGATAACTTGACCTTTATCTCTAAGAGCAAGTGCAGGACTTTCACAAAAATAAACAGCATAAAAACATGTCACAAAAGGGATGTGTGTTCCCTGACCGTGTTTCTCTTGAAATTCTTCATTCTCGGTGTACCAAAACAAACAGCCCCAGCAAACAGAGTACAGCATACTGTCGAAATGAACAAAAAACAAGAGTTAGACCAAATGCAAAGTAGGACATTATTAATTCAATATTTCAAAGTATACCTTAAATTTGGGGTAGTCGTTCATCAAAATTGTCACAATTCCGATGTAAGGCACAAACCTGTCAGAAGAAGAGATAAAAAAAATTTCCCCAATGGAATGAAAAAAAACAAAACAAAAAAAAAACAGTCAAACACTGCATCCCAAATAATACATTATACACTATACACTGTGTACTTAAGCACTTAACTGCTCAAAAGCGTACTATATGAATTAAGTGTTGTCCCAATTGGAACAATTTTGGTATTGGAATGTATTTTTACTAATAAGAAATTCAAACCATTTCCCAGATGACGTTTGACAGCTACAAAAATAGTGAATTCAGGGCTCGAAATTAACCTTAGTGCTTGATAGCACTGGTGCTCCTAACTTTAAAAATGTAGTCGCACCAAACAAAATTTAGCTGCATTAACAGAGAATTACATATTAACAGATTTATTCCATTTAAAATCAACACTAATCGAATATAATTATCTGCTGTTACCTGCAAACTCAATCTCACCGGCTTTACAGTGAATGCTTTAGTCATTTTCATAGTGGACTTTAACCAATAGAAGTCTTTTATCCACTCTTCAAAAAGTGTAAATGGTGGATAAACATTCACCACATGATCACTAATCAGATGTAGAATTATTTGTAACTTTAGGTGGTTTTTAAAACAAAATCTGTCAGTGTTGTTTCCTTTTCTCATCTTCAGCTTACATTTTCCCAGTTGTAACTCCCTGTCATCTGTTGGCAGAAGGCGTTGACTAAGTGATTGACAGCTGATATTAACCAATCCATTCGAGTTCAATTCTAGAGCTGTGGGCCAATCAGAAAAGCTTATGCGACCAAAATGGTTGCAATGTCGGGCCTTGGAATGTGATAAATACTACTAAATAGTACCTACCCTGAGTACAACCGCATTCACCATCAGGAGGTGGCATAGTCACTTACGTCAGGGATATCAAACTCAATTCCTGGAGGGCCGAAGCCCTGCACAGATTATTTCCAACCCTGCTCCAACACACTTACCTGTAGGTTTCAAACAAGCCTGAAGGACTCAATTAGTTTGATCAGGTGTGTTTAATTAGGATTGGAACTAAACTGTGCAGTGCTGCGGCCCTTTTGGAACTGAGTTTGACACCTGTGACTTACGTAGAAGAAATTTGCTTCACAATCCAAAATAATTTAAGTAATTCAACGCAAGTGTTCGATTGCTCCGCTAGGGATGTCACAATACTGGAATTTGGTACCTATGAATACTGATATTTTAAAAACATCAATTTCCAACTAATATTTGAGTGCTGTTGAGCATGTTCTTAAACGTTGCTGATTTGCCATTGTGTTCACATACACAACAGAAATTACTGTGATGGGCCGTGACGGTCATCAGTACACCAAACTCTTAGTATAAACACAAATACAGGCACACTGGAGCGTTTAAGCTGTTATAAGAGTGATCCGCTGATGAATCGCAGCTTTAAAATGCTCCATTAATTAAGGACAATTAAGGACATTTCTGTTGAGCTGTGTTTAATAATGTGCTCAACAGCTCTGAAATGCTAGTGGGAAATTAATGACTTTAAAATGTTTGTATCGATTGGTACCGAATTCTAGTATCGAAACAACTCTAATCTCTGCCCCTTCCACTTCGTAAGCAAAGCTGCAGCCGATGAGTGATGTTAAAGAACTGCATCATATGGGTACAGTGCACTTGAATATTTAATGAATATTTGACTAAATATAAAATGAATATTTTAGTTTGAAGGCACTATTTGTACTATTTACACTTCAAAATGGTGTAGAATAGTGCATAAGTATGCAATTTGGGATGCACCTAAACATCTGAACAATACAAAAATACAGCATATTGGGTTTTGATCTTACCCTCTTGCTCTGCCCACCACATCCTTCTTCTCCAACCAGTGCTGTCCTTGCTTATAAAGGCCTCTGTCATCCACTGAATTATTGTCACCTTTTGTCAAGAACTTGATATCGCCATTTTCTCTGAAATTAATATGAATGAATGTTACTGGAAAGAACAAAGCATGAAAACCAATCAAATTACACACATCATGATATGCAACAATACTACATACAACTATAATTAAACTGACAGGAATGCAAACTCATTAGGGGTTAAAAAGGGTGACAGATGTGAGTCTTCCACCCCCTGTTAAAAAAAATGAGCAGATGTGCAGCTTTGTTGTTACGTCATTGTTTTTCCACTGGTGTTAGCTACTTTCAAAGCAAACAATACAAGAAAGCCCTTATTTGTTGCTTAGAAACGGTCGTGTTAAAGGGTTAGATCACCCAAAATTGAAAATTATGTCATTAATTACTCGGCCACATGTCGTTTCAATCTCCTGAGACCTTTGTTTAT